TCTCTGATCAAAAATAGTGAACAGTTTTGGTCCCATTATCTAAGGGAAGATTTCCTGCCTTTGGGGGCAGTCTAGAGAAGGTTCACAAGGTTGATCCTGGCTATGGAGGGATTTTCTTGAGGAGAGGTCAAGTAGGGTGAGCCTGTACTCACTGATGTTTAGAATAATAACAAAAGCAACCACAATGAAACATGCAAGACTCTTAACAGACAAACAAATTTCTGGAAAAGCTCAGCAGGTCTGGCAGCATCTGTGAAGAGAAATCAGAGTTAACGTTTGAGTCTGGTGACCCTTCCTCAGAACTATTCTGAGTTCTAAGGAAGGGTCACCAGACCCGAAGAATTAACTGATTTCACTTCATAGATGCTACCAGACCTGCTAAGCTTTTCCAGCAATTTTCGTTTGTTTTTAATTTACAGCATTTGCAGTTCTTTTGGTTTTTATTAAAGATTGCCAAGAGGTTTGACAGGGCAGATGCCCAGTAGCTGTTTCCCGTTGTGGAAGAATCTCGAACAAGAAGGCATGATCTCAGAGTCAGAGGTTACCCATTTGAGACAGATATGAAGAAGAATTTCTTCTGAGGGTAGTGAATCTGTGGAATCTTTACCACAGTGGGCTGTAAAGGCTAGGTCATTAAGTATACTCAAAGCCCAGATGGACAGATGTTTACTTAATAAGGAAATGAAGGGTAATGGGAGTATTTGGCATGAAAGGGGAGTTGAAGATCTCCTGCTCCTGTGTCTTATGGTTTTATTATACAACAGCAATTGCATAGCACTTTAGCACACTGGAACATCTCAGCGCTTTACAAAATCAACTGTGCTGAACCGTAATCATCACACAGCCAAACACAACAGCCAATTTCTGCCAGCAAAATTTCCACATACAACAAACATATGAATAACCAGGATGGATGAGTCCCAGTTCCTTTGAAACAGACACATAACAGTTCTTCTCAAAGCTATTTGGTTAAAAAAGGCCCCTTTTATAACAAATTAGGAAACATGGAATGCCGCCCCACTGTGGGCAAAATATACTGTGGGCAATATCTTACCAGATGCAGATTGCTGTGGGCTAGGACAAGCTGTCTCATAGAATTGGGAGAGATGTTCAGCAAGGTTAATCGTGAGATTCAAGGGTATCTTGTAGATATTTTTAAGCAACCTGTTCAACGCGTTATGAAGCACATAGAACTTTACCTGGGCCTTTTGTTTCAGGCAGAGATGCTGCCAGTGTACCATAAGAGCTCCACCAAATACTAATGAGACCTGAATCTGCTTAGCTTCTGAGGGCAGGTGTTTTCACACATGTGCTGCAGGCACACTGTATTGTACATTTATTTTGACCAACATTTTTTGTCATGTTACGACACTAAGTAAGGTGGGACATGAACATGGATCTTCTCTCGCAAAAGGAGGGATATTACACTGCGCCACAGGAGCCTTTTACACATCTTGTAAGCTCTTTTCAAGTACGATGACAAGATTCTCACTAAGCATCCCAACAGACGATCAGCACTGGTTCTTGAATACCTTGTTAACAACCCAACTCGCTATTGGTTTTGATCTTACCAAACATTACCACATAAACCGGCTGCTGTTGAAATGCAACATGGAAACCAGAGCAGACTCTTGGGTGCGTTCAACACTTTGCTTGCTCTAAATGACTTCCATTGTGCACACAAGGCATCAACTTCTCAGGGCACCCTACATTTGATAAAGTCAGAGACATACTGTATGGAAACAGATCCTTTGGTCCAACCAGTCCATGTTGAACATAATCCATTGTGCCAAAATCTGAGAACATTCATGGAACATTTCCAAACCACTTAAACATGCTTCTGCACTTCAATGTTGTACAGCCAACAATCATTGCAATGCTGCTACAAGGACATTGTGTACTCAGACACACACCAGCTCATGGTTACAGTAGCAAAGATACAATGAGCGTGAGGTACTGGAAAGAAGATAGCGGTACTTACCCTGGCAGAATGGCGAAGGACACAAACCTGTTTCCTACAGTGTCACGCATTCCCCAGAGGGCCGAGAGCACTTTAACCTGGGTGGTAATCTTGGACTTGGCTGGCACGATCTAGTATCATGGTCTCCACTATTGGTCCAAGGAGGTCAAAAAAGTACTTACCATCTGTGCACCAACCTATCTAACAAGACCTCCAGCACCCCAATTTCTTCCGGTCTGCCATGACTGAGGCAAATATCAGGAACAACGCAGATCAGTTCCAGACTGACAGCAGCTATCCAGGTGCACAACTGGCTTCTTACAGATGATGCAGCAGTGAGGGATAATCCCAGGATATCCAATGAATGGCAAGTTATTCCAGAAACAGCATGTAGTAAGATGGGTGGAAAATGGACATGATACTCAGCACAAGAGGTCAAACAACAATTAAGGCATCCAGTACATCAAAATATGTAAAGAACACTTGCTCGACTTTGTGACGGGAATCAATACACCAAACTCAAATGAATAAGGACTTAGCCAAAAATCAAGATTCAGTTGTATCAATTGTTTGGTCATTTATATTTCTGAATCTAAAGATCAGCAGTTTCACATTAGAGGACATGAATGAAGTTGTGATAGAGGCTGTAAATCATTGAACCGCTACATTGTGGAAACAGGCCCTTCAGCCCAACAAGTCCACACCGACACTCAGAGCATCCCACCCAGACCCATCCCCCCAATCTACACACTACGGGCAATTTAGCATGGCCAATGCACCTAGCCTGCACATCTTTGGATTGTGGGTGGAAACCAGAGCACCCCCGCGCAGACACAAGGAGAATGTGCAAACTCCACACAGACAATTGCCTGAGGGTGCAATCGAACCCAGGTCCCTGGTGCTTTGGGGCAAAAGAGAGTGAATTTTAAATTTTACCTCCAGCTGAAAGGTAACTCTGGCGAGTTCAGTCTGTTGAATACTTCACAACACAGTCCTGCTCTTCCAGGTGGTTAGACTTGATGATTACAGTTGGAAGTTTTGCAAGTTAACCCCCACCAGCTGCTTGACAGCACAGTTGCTTAAGGATTTTTCACTATCCCTGCTGGAACATCACTGGCATGGTGCAAAATATGCAGCATATCTGCCTTTAGAACACCACCAGTATCTGGGAGCACAGTTTCAACTGAAATTCAGAAACTTGGCTTGATTCCATTTCCAATGCCTCTGGGCCTCTCATCTCCTCCCCCAGGATTTTCAGCCCATTCAAGGTCACGCTTGATTGATTTCCAAAGGTGCCTCAACTCCAGTGCCTGCCCAGTGATTGTTTGGGTATTTCATTGTGCAAGTCCACCAGGCATTCTCCCCACTTTGAGGTTTGACAGGAAACTCCTTTAGCTGCAACCCTTGAAGAACAGCTAATGGAAGGTGCCATTACAGAAACAGACCACATCTTCATTGCCTCGCAGGCCCCCAGGAAATTTTCCACAATCCCCTATGCAAAAGTCACTATTTAAAAACTTTTAATATTTATTTGACCACTGGATCAGGCAGATATTAAATTGCTTCATTCACACATTTCTAATGACAACAGTATTGCTGAAGCATTGCACAGCAACGTTAACTTGATGTAATGCTGTATATCAAGAAAAATGGTCAGGGAAAATTCAATGTCAGCAAGCACATAAATGAACAAAGTGTATTCACTTATATTGAGTCCCAAAGAACTCATAGCAGATTCAAAACATTAACACGGTTTTATCCTACACAGAATGTGCCAAACTTGAATTTCTTCAGTCCTTTGTGTTTTCATTTAGTGATGTTTCTCAGTTGAAAAAGCACTAAATGAAATAAAGAATAATTACAAAAGACCAGCACAAATCCCACTTGCAATGATTTCAAAGGTGGTGATAAATTTGAAAGGGATAACACCCACAGATTTCAACAGAAAATTCTTACCTGGCATTGTCTACTAGCTCTGCCAATGCTCCAAAAAGAAACTCATGAGTGGTTCTGAAAATTAAAACATGGAAATTGTTTTAAAAATGCACCTGTTTTGCCATCAGAATTTCAGTACAGTTTACATGGTCACAAATAATATTATTTGGCAAAAGAAACAAGTAGAATGACAAACGCATGAAATTTTCACATTAAAGCCATCTGAAATGTTGACCTGGCCCAGCAATACAATTATCCAAAATTGGGTTGTGTTTAGCAGTCAAAATGTTTTTGACAAAGAAAATGTATTTAGTATCTTATCATACTTGTTAAGAAATGTCTCAAATCCTTACTAATTTAAAAGTATGATTATATTATTGTAAAGTGCGACAAGGGAGCACATAGCAAGATCCCACAATTGAAAATTAAAAGTTTTGTTTGTCAAAAGCTTTGGGAAATTTTGAAGGTGGTGGAATAAGATGACTGTATTCACCCTAAATTCTCTATTGTACAAGTAATTATCATTTTATCTCTAGCCATAATTATTTTTGAAACATTTTTCAACTCTTACAAACCCAACTCTTTTTTTTAATTCATTCATGCGATAAGGGCATCACTGGCCAAGCCAACGTTTATTGCCCATCCCTAATTGCACAGAGGGAAATTAAGGAACAATCACATTTTTGTGGTTCTGAAGTCACATGTAGGCCAGACCAGTTAAGGATGGCAGTTTCCTTAGTGAACCAGATGAGTTTTTCCAAAAATCAACAATGGTTTTATGGTCTTCATTAGACTCTCAATTCCAGATTTGTACTGAACTCTAATGCCACTATCTGCCATGTCAGGACTCGAACCTGGGTCCCCAGAACATTACCTAGGTCTCTGGATTAACAGTCCAGCAATAATCCCACCAGGCCATCATCTCCCCTTACATCATGGTATATGAATATCAGAACAAAATAATCAGCATCTCAGCAACCTGCTGGACACTGACGTCAGTGTGGCGAGACCTTGGTTAAATACATGGCTTGAAGTCCCTATTTTAAAGGATACACTGAGAATTGGTCAAAGCAGAAGTAAAGGCTTTAAGGGTTAATTTCGCGTAAAATCCATGAGTCCAGGAGGAGTATTGCCAAGACTGATATCTTTATTAATAACATGTACAGCAAGGTGGTCAGATCACAGGTTAAAAAACCCACAGGCAAAAAAATATCCTCAGCAGAGCACAGCAACAGCCAAAGTCGTCGCATCCAGAGTTGCAGAACAATTGTGACAGGAGATCCCATTGCAGGGCAAACATATTTAGGTTTCTCCAGCTGTAGACACAACACCATGACGTTAAATTTCCTCCCTTAGTGATATCCTTGATGCTAGCATAAGTGGTTGCAGGGCATTGTGAAGAGAAGGGAGAACAGTCAGAAGTTGTGGTTAATAATAGAATCAATGTCATCAGTTATGAAAAAAGGAACGGGGTTGGGGGGGGGGGTGGCAGGAGTGGTGTTTACGAAATACATTCAACAGCATGCCCTGTAAAGGAAGCAATCTCAGGATTACTCCCAGCAAAATTGTAAAGAGGATAGACCAAGTGAATGTGCAGCTGGGAAGAAGATGCAAGAATTTACATTCTTCAGGCATTGGGCCCAATCAGATATGTACAGACTGAACAGGCTGCATTGGAGGAGGACAAGGGCGACACAGCGTTCACTAATCGGGAGACAAAAAGATGGAAATGAAAGATAGGAAAGTAGATAGCGAAAGTGGAAGGCAAAGTAAACAGGGGCTAGCAGCAAAAAGGGGAATTGTATAAGATGTATAAATATCAAAAGACAATTCCAAAAAGATACTATACCTGAATGCACAGAATAGTCATAATAAGGCATAAGAACTAACAGTGTTAGTAACTGTAAACAGATAGAATATGATTCTGAGTTTAGAGACATAAAACTGTGGGGTAGCCAAGGCTGGGAATTGGACGCCAAAAGGTATTCAGAAATAAAAACAAATTGCTGGGAAAGCTCAGCAGGTATAGCAGCATCTGTGGAAAGAATTCAGAGTTAACATTTCGGGGTGACCCTTCCTCAGAGCTTTTTGTTTGAAATCATTTGTGGGATGTGGGTGTTAATGACTGACTAGCATTTATTGCCTATCCCTAGTTGTCTTTAAGAAGGTGGTGTGAGCAGTTTGCTTGAACCACTGTAGTCCATCTGCTGTGGGTTGATCCACAATGCCATTCGGGAGGGAACTCCACTCAGCTCTTTTGTCCATGTTTGAACCAAGGTTGTAATGAGGTTAGGAGCTGACGGAATTCCACAATTTTGACCCAGCAGTGAGAATTTTTGGTGAATCTCTGCAGTGCATCTTGTAGATAGTGGAGGCAGTGGATGCATGTGGCTGTGGTGTCAATCAAACAGACTGCTTTGCCCTGGGTGGTGTCAAGTGTCTTGAGTGTTGTTGGAGCTGCAGTGGGGAGTATTCCATCACAGTCCTGACTGGTGCTTTATGGACAGGGTTTGGAAAGTCAGGTGGTGAGTTACTAGCCGCAGTATTCCTAGCTTCTGACCTGCTCTTGTAGCCACCATGTTTACATGGAGAGTCCAGTTGAGTTTTTGGTCAATGATAACACCAGGATGTTGATAGTGGGGGATTCAGTGTTGGTAACACCACTGAATGTCAAGGGGTAATGGTTAGATTGTCTCTTATTGGTGATAGTCATAGCCTGGCATTTGTGTGGTGCGAATGTTACTTGCACTTGTCCAGATCTTGCTACATTTGAACATGGACTGCTTCAGTACCTGATGAGTTACAAATGATGCTGAATATTGCACAATCATTGGCGAACATCCCCACTTCTGACCTTATGATGGAAGGAAGGTTATTGATGATGCAGCTGTAGATGGTTGGGCCTAGGACACTACCCTGAGGTACTCCCGCTGAGATGTCTGGTCTCCAACAACCACAACCATCTTCATATGTGGCAAGTATGACTCCAACCACTGGAAAGTTTACCTCAAATACCCACTGGTGCCAGTTTTGCTAGGGGTCCTTGATGCCACACTCTGTTGAACGCAGCCTTGATGTCAAGGGTTTTCACTCTCACCTCATCTCTGGAATTCAGCTCTTTTGTCCACATTTGAGCCAAAGCTGTAATGAGGTCAAGACCTAAGTGGCCCAGGCAAAACACAAATCATGCATCACTAAGCAGGTTATTGCTGAGGAAGGGTCACTAAACCTGAAGCATTAACTCTGATTTCTTTCCACATATGCTTCCAGACTTGCTGAGCTTTTCCAGCAATTTCTGTTTTTGTTTCGGATTTACTGCATCTGCAGTTCTTTCAGTTTTTATCAAAAGATATTCAATCTTTAGGAAGAACCACCTGATTGAAGTTCATAAAATAATGAGGGGTATAGATAGAGTTAAGGGTAGTTGTCTTTTCCCTAGGATGAGCAATTTCACATCTGGGGGGTACATGATTAAGGTGAGAGGAGGGAGATTTAGAAAAGACACAAGGGGCAATTTTTTTTCACAGAGGGTGGTTCGCATGTGGAATGAAGTTCCTGGGAAAGTGGTAGATGTGGGTACAATTACAACGTTTAAAAGACATTCGGATAATTACATGAATAGGAAGGATTTGGAAGGATAATAGGCCAAGAGCAGGTAGGTGGGACTAGTTTAGTTTAGGATAATGTTCGGCATGGTCTGGTTGGACTGAAAGATCTGTTTCCATGATGTATAACTACTGTGACTCTATAAGAGCTCAAAAGGAAGAGATGGGGTGGCTTTAGTCAAAGGTGAAATCAGTGCAATAGCAAGGAAGGACATTACTGCAGGAAATCTACAATGTAGAATTGGTCTGGGTGGAACTAAGGAACAAACAACATCCACACACAGACTAGACAAATGACATTAGCAACACAATAGAAGACAGATTTCTGCAGCACGTACAATCTTTTTTTAAAAAAAGACCAGTACATTGAGGAACCAGGCTGGGGAACAGGCTATCCTAGAATTGGTTTTCTGCAATGAGAAAGGATTAATTATTAATCTTGTTGCAAGTCTTTTATGAAAAGCAAGCATAACATGAGTTTTTTTTACTGGAATAAAAAGTGAAAAGTTGACGAATAAAGGTCACTGGGTGTCCTTGTGCATCATCCATTGAAATCAAGCATGCAGGTACATCAAATAGTTAGGAAGGTAAAAGGCATGTTGGTTTTCATCGCAAGGAGGTTTGAGTACAGAAGCAAGAAAATCAAGGAAACTCTATGTGGCTTTGGCAAGACCAAACCTGAAGTACTGTGCACAGTTCCGGTTTCCTTCATAAAGGAAAAAAGATATACCTGGCTTATGGTATGAGAAGCATTTTTGAGATAGTGACCATAACTCAATTACATTTAGGTTGGTTATGGAGAAGAATAAGGAATGGCTGGGGAAAAAACGTTCCTAAATGGGTAAAAGATAACTTTACAAAGATGTATATGATTTGGCACAAGGGGACTGGCATTGTGGATTTACTTGTCACAAATGGACTGCAGCAGTTAAAGATGGCAAGGGCAACTGGGGATGGGCAATAAAGGCTGGCCTAGTCAGTGACAACCACATCCCACGATGAACAAAAAGAAAAAGAACAAGAAAGAGAAAAAGGAAAAGAAATTAACTGGGAGGATGTACTCGCAGATAAAACAGAGAGCAATGGGAGGCATTCAAGGAGAAAAGAACGCACAGGACAAATATGTTCCCAAAAAGACAGGGTGGGGCAAAGACCAGAAAACCTTAATGTAAAGGGACATAAAGGTTAGGATTAAGAAAGCTTATAGCAGATATAGCATGTTCATTAGAGTCCTAACAGAAGTATAAAAAATGGTTTAAAGGAAATTAGGAAAACAAATAATTCATGAGAAAGCACTGGCGAATCAGTATAGAGAAAAGCTCAAAAGGATCTTTACAAAATCTATAATTAGCAAGAAAATAAGTTGGGCAAGAGTAGAGCCCATTAGGAACAACTGAGGTCAAGAGAGAGTAGCTGGAAGATGCGGGCAGAGTCTTCAATGAATATCAACATGGGTATAGGTACCAGAGT